GGCGAGGGGGGAGGGGCACCATGAGGCCCCGCTGGTCGGGAGGGGAAGCGGGTGGAAACGCACGAGAAGCGACAGCAGGGAGGTGAATCGCGCTGACGATTGGAGGAGGCGGGGTGTGGCGGGATGCGACTATCGGCCAGGTGTTCCTTGCAAGGAGGCGATCCTCTGAAGGGCAAGAGGGGCGCGCAGGGGGCGGGGGACGGGGACAGGGGGAGGGAGAGAGAGAGAGAGAGGGGGGGGAGGAAAGCTCGGGTCAGGAATAACATGGGAAGGGAAACGGGGGATGGGTGGGGCTCCTCTCGAAACTGGCCGACCGCGAGGAGGGGAAGAGCACGCACTGCCCCCACACACCACCGCCAGTAGACCACCGACGGCCGGGGCGCACCGGGAGGGGGGGCCAGAGGCACGGGCAGGCCTCCCGGGCAATGGGGCGGAGATGGGGGGGGGGGGGGGGGGGCAGGCATACAAAAGGAGGAGGGGCGAGAGAGAGAGAGAGAGAGAGAGAGAGAGAGAGAGAGAGACACACAGTGCGAGGGTGGTGGCAGCAGGGAGAGGAAAGCAGCCGGAGATAAGATCGTGTCGGGTCAGCGGGGGCGCGGGCCAGGGCCAGGGTGCCACATGAGCTCCATGCAGGCACGGGGGGAGGAGTATTCTTGCGAGCGGGACATTGGACCTCGGTCGTGGGATCGCAAGAGACGGGCCGGTCCAAGGGCGGGGGCCCCGGGAGGATGCACACGGCGACAGAGGACCCGACGAATCGGGGCAGGAGTACCACACGATGCGCGGGGCCCGGAGGGGCAAAGAGACACCCAAGGGGGAGGCGAGGGGAGCGAGAGAAGGCCGAAAATCGCAGGAACCGGGCTCCGGTTGCCTGACCCCTGCCTGGCCACCTTGCTTGATTGGTCGTCGGCTGCTGCTGCGGGGGGGGGGGGGGGGCCTGCGCTCGAAAGGCCAGATAGGTTGGGAGTCCAGCGGAGGCCCGGCCCTCGGCCAGGGGGCGGGGGCGTGCTGGCCGGCGTCCGGCCCGCGAGAGGAGGGCACTTCGGCAAGTGGGTGGGTGCAGCGATGAGAGCCGGGTGAGATCGGCGCCGGGGGGTCTTCGGGTGGTATGGCCCCGGATCCTGGCCGCCGCTGTGAGGCATGGGGGCAGGGGCGGGGGAGCGGGGGGGGGGG